AACGCAACCGGACACTTATATCCAGCGCTCAGAATAGCCCAGCCCCAGCCCGGGCCCTCCCTTCCCATCCAATAGGCTTCCATTCACCCCTGCTCAGCAGTTCCATGTTTTACCACTGTAATTATTAACAAATGTCTGCCAGGCCCCACTTTTTCTTCAGAATACTACCTCCTCCAATACACATAAATACATCATCCTCATATCCTCTAGTGAAAAATAGGTTTAAGTCATTATGATTTCATGTCTGTAAAATGTTGAGATCCCGACTTCCAAAAAGACAAAAGCTACCATTTCATCATTTTGTCTCTCCCCTCAAAAGACAGAGCTGAAGCAGGGGAAAAAAATAAGGCAGAGAGGTGTTTTAGAAGCTTCTTCGCCTTATCAGAATAAGTATATAAATGACATAAATGTCAATCATCTTTGCAAAATTAAACGAGAGTAACAGCAAGGATAGGTTCACTAGAAACCATAACATCTTATTTGACTAAGACTACTGAGAACCAAATTTCTCACTAAAAATCTAAACAAAGATTGTAGAGTACTATGTAAAGTAATTCTGCATATGCTTTTCTTTAGTTTATATTATGCATTCATTTATTCACTTTTTCTTTTAACAAATATTTGGTAAATGTTTATTCTGCTCCAGTGTCCTACTTTTTTTTTACTTTTACTTCCCTAAAAATAATTTTCCCGGTAAAATTCCATGCATTTCCAACAACATTCTCTTAATGTCCATCCGCAAACATGGGACTCTGCATTAATTCTTCTTCCTTTTGGAGAGATGAGAGCTCACTTCCTCCTGGCCTTAGTTCTGAATGGGAGAGGAAAGCCACCACAATGTATCAGAATAGCTTTGAGCGCACCGATCGGACTGCAGAAGTGGAGACACATTTCAGCCAATATTGTCTTGCTGTACTTTACATTTCCTGAGTTGCTGGTTAGACTTGAGGTTAAGAAAAGGCCCTTCCCCATAACGTCAGAATGCCACAGCTTGCTTGGGAAGGTACCTAGCACTGCAGAGCCAAGGCCTTATCTCAAAGGATAAGGTGGAGTTTGCTCTTTTCCCCTATTGCGAAATATGAGATTATTAAGTAATCTGTTTACATCATACAGATCCAAAATGCTGGCTGACTTTTTTAGGGATAAAACATGTATAAGATATCCCTCTGGAAACAGATACCTGGGGCTCTTTCTTCCTATCTCAACTTTGGTTCACTCCACAAAACCTGCCAATTCCCCCTCTCTGTGTGCATTTGAAATGAAAACAAAGTGCAGTTCTCACAGTCGGCATTTCTGGGTCATCTGGTAACATCAATTTGTCATCTACAGACCAATTCTGATGAAAGTACCTGGACTGGACATGGAGCCTTTTGGTACAGAAAAAAATATGATTATCTTAAACGTTAAACTTTTTTAAAGAGTTTATCCACAGCAGCCACTCTGAGCCAAAAATGTTAACTCCATACACAGTGTAACATAACCAGTGAAAGAACAGATGTTAAAGCTTCTCTTTATTTTTTTGTATTTTTTCTTTTTATTAAATTTATTGGGGTGACTTTGGTTAATAAGACTGCATAGGTTTTCTGTGTACACTTCTATGATATAATCTTCATATTGCGTTGTGTGTCCAACACCCAAAGTCAACTAATCTTCCATCACCATATACTTGACTTCTTTTACCCTTTACCACATCCCTACACCCTCTTCCTTCTGGTAGGCACCATACTGACGTCTGTGTTGATGAGTTTTTATTGGTTTTTCTTGTCTGTTCATTTGTTGCTTTCAGTTTTATATCCCACATATGAGTGAAATCATATGATTCTGAACTTTTTCTGTGACTTATTTCACTTATCAGTGAGTGAAAACAAAGCTTCTCTTTATTTTAAAGATTAAAAATTGACACTTGGTTAAAAGAGTATATCTTTACACTACTAACACAAAAGCACAAGGCAAATTATGTGAAAATGAGGTTTAGGTCTTTAAAATATATCCCACACAGATGAATTCATTATTTAAACAGAAGATGACTCCTCTTCTGACTCACTGTTCTGAGTGAGTTCTGCAGTTGATGGTATTCTGTTAGTTTTCAGATGGTGGATTAAGTGTCATGCCACCCACGGAGAGTAAAGTTGAACCAGGTGAACTGAGGGCGGGGCTGAGGTCCCCGTCTCCCTCCCCTACTCAGAACTACAGCAGTAGATGAAAGTACGAGAGCACACTGGGCTCTTCTGCATCAGACTGAGCTCAATCCAATGCCCCCAAATTTGAGGGTCTAAGAAGAATTTTAAAAGCATGAACATTTCAAAGTAACTAGAGCAACTGGACCTCTGTCACCCTAATAATCACTTAATGGAAGTACATCTTATTTGTGCAAATTACTTTAAAAGACAAAGTTTTATGTTGTTTACTTTTACCAAGTGTGCTGCAACATGCAACAGTCATGTGTACCCTAGAAGCAAGAGAAATAACTGCTTGCATTAAAAAAATTTTTTTGTTTGATAAAAGAAATGTAAGGTGTTCCAATTCCTTTAACCTTTGAATTTCTCATCCTTAAAACTGGAGCAATTCCTTCTGCCATAAATGTACCAGAACTCAGCTACTTATGTTCTGAGATAATAGCTTGCCTTCCTTCAAATACACCCTTCTTGGTGCAATTAAAAATATGAGGCGGATTTATGTCCTTGAGGAGTACATTCCCACTCAAGATACAAAAGAATTCTCATTAGAGGTCCTGGCAGTCAAGTCATCTGTTTCTTCATGCTCAACCACTTCATGCTCAACCGCATAGATACACCATCACACCCATGTCCACTGCAGCTTCTTTATACTTTCACTATAAAACGTAAGTGCTCCCACCCCCATCAGATGGAGCCAGGTGAGAAAATGGGAGGGTCCATTGGGTGGGCACGGAATTAGAAACTAATTGTTTCTATTGAAGTTCTAAGAGGCGTACTGTACAAGAGTCTGTACTGTTGGGTATTCGCCACCAAATAATGATACCACAGACAACCATCCTGTAGGCCCTGAAGACTCAACCACAGGCAACTGGCTAAACATGCCTTGAAAGAAATATAATCAACTCCAACCAACATGAATGATAATCATTCAAATACATGTCTCAGAACAGGAAAATACAAAACCCATGTGGCAAGTTTAATCACCTCAAAGCCAAACCATTTTATAGATGTTTCTATCAACTTTTGCTGTCTTTTTTGTTTCTCCTTAGAGAAACCTGGCTACTGACTTGTATGCTATCCATTAAATTGGTGTCTTAATTTTGTGCCTGAAAATCAAAGGAAATACTTCAGGAAATTAACTTCTTGGTCAAAGCCTTACAAAACCCATGTACAATACCCAATTGCAATAGGGTGCTGTCAATCCCACAGAACTAACACACTCAAGAAAGTGATTTACATCTGCTGTGAACTTAGCTAGAACATTATTCTCTAGGAAAACACACACACACACACACACACACACACTCTCTCTCACACACGCACACACACATACACACACACACATACACTCACACATCTCATTCCCAAGCTTCCTCACTGATTTTTCTACTTTAATTGTCCTGAGTCTATAGAATATTCTTTCAATCCTACAATATTTCTTACATACAATGCTATAAGTTTAATATTCTTATATCCTCTTTGACCCTGGGACAGTGACAATGGAGACTTAACATCACGGTTTGTAAGAATCTTAAGACAAAAGTTTTACTATTTTGCTTTCACGAACTTGACATTTTCCCACAGTCATGTTGTAAAAGTGCAAGGAACCCATAAAACAATATGAAAGAAAATACTGTAGTTTCCTTTTTCCTAAGAAACTGAGGTATCAAATTCTTATTGGTCTCGAGAGTATAACTGCAGGAAGTAGCAAGGTGGAGGGGGGAACCTACCCTCCAACACTGCATGGTCAGAAGAAACTTACTAAGGAAATGTGAGAAAAAACACCATGGTTTTTTCAAACGACTCCAGGTGGCACAGAAGCATCACTTGCCTGGGATGAGTCTGATTGGAGAATCACTCCAGAACACATAACACCACCCTCTCCTTCCTAACCCACCCCCCTTCCGTCCAAGTTTTTGGTATACATTAAATGTTTACCAAATGGCACCAATCAAACTAGAGTTTCCAAACACATATAAGTTGTCTCTCGGGTGATTTTAACAGGCATATTTTATGACATGGTTCACCTGCAAGTTTCATTTAATTTTATGAGTACCGATTATTTTTTAAACCTCATTATAAATATTCATAACACCTTGCATATCTGTGATGCCTTCACATAATTACTTTAACAAATATTAAGTCCTGCTTTCTCACTATCAAATCAATAGCATTATTCCACATTAGTGAAAAGTCAAGCAAGAGACACATTAAAAGCATCATAATATGAGCTAAAATTTAACTTTTATTTGGTTTTTAACAGGACTGGGGAACATTAGCAAAAGAGGTCCTGGGGGTTTTTTAAGTAAAACATGCTTGTCCATCTTTTCCTGAGACTCATCCATGATTACCACTCTTTACATCCTCAGCTAATACCCTTCTTCCTGGCCACAATGGTATCAGTCTCTTTCTCTAACATCTGTTTCTCTACCCTGCAAACTATATGAAAGAATAGGAAAAGATTCAACCAAACACATTTATATAAATCTAGCAGCTTCCTTAAATTAGTCACTGGAAGGTGGTTCATATGTTCCGGCAAAAAAAAAATTCTTTTTTACAAAGAGGCACCTGCTTCAAAGTAAGACCCCCACTCTCATCCCTTTTTTTAAACCATGCAGGACTACACTGACTCAGATTCTGATGGTCCAATGAAGTTCTTAAAATTACTTTCTGTGTCGAAGCAAAATGGGGAGATTAATGAAACTCATAGAAAAGCTTAGGTTTTTAACTTCAAAAATATAAGATACACGGAATGGACAAATGCTACTCTCTACAAAGACATACGTATATGCATATATACTTCCCTGGACCCATAAAGCTCACCTTCTACTTCTTCTTCATCACACACATGCTTAAGGAAAGAAGCCCCTCTGTCCAGGACAGCTTCATCCTCCATCCTATAGTAATAAAAAAGAAAAAAAGAATGCTCAGACTTCTCCTGGAGGGAGCCACTCGAAGCAGCCCAGCTTCTGGGCAGGTTGACCTGCAAGCTGTTGTTCATGTTAACGGGGCACCGTCACTCTTCGTCTGGTGACTGCCACTTCTTCACGCAGCTCCTCTCCTCTGGTGGTAGAGAATACTCCGGTCCCACATGGCTTCCGCTCTAACCTTGAGAGGGCACCCACATGGACAGGTGAGAGAAAATCATCTCAATCCCGCAGGCTGGGTGGTGGGGGTGCTCCCCTTCGGGATTTGCATTTGGAAAAAAAAAAAAAGGAAAGAAAAAAATACCAAGAGAGGAAGTTTGGTATATCTGGAGTGCTCGTTGATGATCGTTTGTGGAAATCCAGCTTCAGTGCTGAGCTCTTTAAACACCCACTGCATAAAAATGTATGCCCTCACACACACACATGCACACCCACCCACACACAGATAGCGACAGGGAGGTAGGCTAGTGCACAGTGAGAGCCTAGCTTCCAGCCAGCCTCTTAATACCAGAACAGCCCAGTATGCTCTGTGGAGTGGCAAGCTTTGAGTCACATGTTGGCCTTACGGAAATCTGACATCTGAGGATTATCCAGCAACGCGGCTTCGGCGACAGTCACACATATATGCCACCCATTCATTTATGCTCCACATTCTTATCACACGCCTCTCTCTGTGTATCTGTCCTGTTAACTCTTCCATGAAGGGCACAAAGTTCTTCATTTTGTAGCCACATTATGCTGTCCTCCTGTCACCTTACATAATAGGATCCTCTCTGCAATTTCACATGCTAAATAAGACCTCAGGATCCATCCAAGTAATGACAGTGTTTTTACGGCCTCTCGGTGCCAAACATGTCTCTCGTTTATGGAATGAGTTACGGTTTACGTCCTTATTCTGGGGCTCGTTTTCACTGCATTAACTTTGACATACAGAATTCCACGCACTCTATTTATAGTGAAAGCAGAAAGAAATCCCCAATTGCTCAAATGTTGCTGTGTCGGCCTGGTCTAGAAACAAAGAACTTTCTCTGGGGACAGCTGCTCTATGTCACACCATACATGAGCACCGCCAGAGGACCAAATGTTTACGCTGCATTCTATTCATCCATCTATTCAATGTCCAGGCACGGAATACTGTAGGTCTGTTTTCCATATTGCCTGTAAAACATATCCTTGTGTTTCAGATACTTGTTATAATATATGTGGATATGCACTGAATTCGCATTTTTTCCTCCTCTTTATTTTAGGAGAATATCCATCTTGCAAACAACCGTCTTAGCAAAAAATGTCAGAAGTTTGGTGTCAGGTAGACCTGGGCTTTAAAAATCTGTCTAACACTTAATATTTGCATCACCTGGAGCAAAGTATTAACTTTGTGAGCCTCCATGTTTCCATCTATAAAACTGGGATACTAATATCGACCTTGCAGGACTGCTTTGAGATTCAAATTGGGTAACAAATATGAAAGTACTCAGTTTTGTGCCTAGCACCTACTACATGTTTAATTCCTTTCTTCCTTCCTGATTCCTTTTTACCCTAACATTTGTTGGCGGACAATGCCATTAAGAAACCTATTACCTTCAGACACTTGCAGAATATTTTCTTTCAGGAATACGGGACATGCATGCAATAATTCATCCTGATAAATACTAGTTCCTTCTCTGTATGAAAACTAAAAATATAAAATTAAATACAAATGGGATATGGATCAGCCGCCAGAATTATAGTAGAAAAACAATGCCTTGAAGACTTGAGAAGCCAAGTCTTTTGCCAGCCCTCTCTGAGCCTTTCCCATGAAGAATGGATGATGCACTGATTTACTCTCCAGCAATTGCTATGTCCTGGCACTCTCCAGAGGGAGGGGAATGCATCTGCAAATAAGACAGACAATTCCTGAGAAACAGAGTAATAAATAGATAAATAAGGTCACCTTAGGCATCATTAAGTGCTTTGTAAGAAAATACAAGGAGACAGTGGGCTGCCTGGTATAAGGTGGTTCAGATGAGGCTTCAGAGGACGTGAAATTTGAACAGAGAAGAAAATGATACGAAGGAACCAGGCATTTGAAGATTTGGGGGCAAAGCATTCCAAGCAAAGGGAACAGCAAGTGCAAGGCCCTAAGGTGGGAACAAGTTTAGCATGTTCCAGGAATGGAAATGAGGTCTGGGAAGCTGGAGAGACAGACAGGAGGAATCAGGGCCATGCAGGCCATGGAGGTCAGTCAGCATCAGAGGTGTTCTGGGATCCACTGAAGAGTTGTGTGTGTTTTTTATTCTGATCTACTGAGGTATAAATGACATATAACATAATATTAGTTTTAGATGTACACAAGGTGATTTGATATTTGCATATACTGTAGCCACTCCTTATCTGAGAGGGACGTGTTCCAAGACCCCCGATGAATGTCTGAAACCAATGCTACTGAATCCTATATATATGTTTTTTCCTAGACATACATACCTATGATAAAGTTTAATTTATAAATTAGGCCATTTCACAGATAGACAATTCATTCTTACTGTAGATCTTAGCGACTTCAGCATACTACATTTTTTAAAATATATTTTTATTGATTTCAGAGAGGAAGGGAGAGGGAGAGAGAGATAGAAACATCAATGATGAGAGAAAATCATCCATCAGCTGCCTCCTGCACCCCACCCTCCAATCCCCACCGGAAGCATGTGCCCTAACCAGGAATCAAACCATTACCTCCTACTTCATAGGGTGACACTCAACCACTGAACCACTCTGGCTGAGCTCAGCTTACTACATTTTTTCCTTTCCTCATTAAGCCAAGAACTTTTACTTTTTCACTTAAAGGAAGCACTTTTCTTTGGCCTATCCAAATTGCCAGCATCACCACCCTTGTGCTTTGGGGCCATTATTAAGTGAAATAAGGGTAACCTGAACACAAGCACTGCGATACCGTGCTATCTGATGGCTGAGATGGCTACTAGGTGACTCAAGCATGGAGAGTGTGGATAGGCTGGACAGAGGAAGGCTCATGTCCAGAGTGGGACAGAGCAAGGCAGCACGAGATCTGATCACACTACTCAGAACAGCACCCAATTTAAAATTTATTGATCATTGATTTCTGGAATTTTTCATTTAATATTTTCAAACCCCATGGGTAACTGAAACCATGGAAAGTAGAAACCTGGATAAGGGGAGACCACAGTATTGTGAAATGATCACACCATGATACGTCTAGTTCGCATATAGAGTTACAAAATTTTATTTCTTGGGGTGAGAACTTTTAAGAGCTACTCTTTGGGCAACTTTCAAATATGCAATACAGTATTAACTACTAGGGGCCCAGTGCACGAAATTCGTGCATGGGGGGGGGGAGTGTCCCTCAGCCCAGCCTGCCCCCTCTCACATACTGGGAGCCCTCAGGCGTTGACCCCCATCACCCTCCAATCGCAGGATCGGCCCCTTGCCCAGGCCTGACGCCT